CGATGATTTTATGAATGTTTTATCTGATAATGAAAACTTAATTTTAGCCAGTTGTTTGGAATTTGAAGAACAAATATATCAATTCCATTATTAAAGTTCTTTTGTTTATTTAACTGATAGATTAATTATTTTCATGACGAAAGAAGTAAGGTGCCCAAGATTTTAAAAGATTCGAAAAAATAATAGAAACTTGGCTTTATAGCAACTGGCATCTTTGCCAAAAAATACTTTGTTATTAAATCTATGAAATAAAAACAACAACATGGTGCTAATTCGAATTTAAATTCGTCTCTATGCTCTTGAAAAAAGTTATAAAATGTCATTATTTGACAAAAAATTTGAAGACTACGTTAAACATGAAGTTGGAATGGAGTCATCAGAGCTCATTTCTCCATTGCAGATTTTAAATTCGTCACCATACTCTTGAAAAAAGTAATAAAATGTCATTATTTGACAAAAAATTTACATAGATTTGAAAACTTAGTTAAACATGAAGTTGGATTGAGTCATCATTCTCCATTGCAGTAGATAAATGCTATTAAAACCAACATCCTCAGTAAATTCTTCCTATTTATTTTCAATATTTTCTAATCTTATAACTTCTTTAACAATAAATTTATTAAGCATTAAGTTGATATTTTCTAATCTTATAATTTCTTTAACAAAAGAGCTGACTTAATAAACTTGCTTATTAAACATTACGTGTTCAAGAACAGAATTTGAGATGACGGTAGGATATGTTTTGATTGTCATTATTTGACAAAAAATTTGAAATACATTTACATAGATTTGAAAACTCCGTTAAGCATGATGTTTAACCAGTTTATTTCTCCATTTCAGAAGTAGATAAAAGCTATTAGAACCAACATCATCAGTAAATTCTTCCAGTTTATTTTCAATATTTTTCAATCTTATAACTTCTTTAACAAAATTTATTAGGCATTACGTTAATATTTTCTAATCTTAAAATTTCTTTAACAAAAGAGCTAAATTATTAAACATTACGTGTTCAAGAACAAAAGTTGAGATGACGGTAGGTTATGTTTTGATTACGTTTAAACACTTTTGGTTATGAGAGTCCAACAAATCCTGAAAAAACACACCACTATCTTTCAACGATTTTGCTGTTCTTCAGTAGTTATAATTGAGTTTCAATTGTTGGTTTGGTGTATTTTTTCACTCAATGAAAAGAATACAACTGTTAAATTTGTTTCCATGATGAGTTTAAAGCATTCGTTTAGATTGAAAAAAAAACGTTCTAACAAAAACTAACTTAACTCACTATGATCGGCTGATGGAACCAGTGGCAATGATTTTGACATCGATAAATCGTTTTTGTTGATTGGTTTACCAAAATTTAAACCATGATTTTTTGCAGTTGATTCTTTGCAAAAATGCTGGGGTGAAAGGTCACCGCTAAATGATCTCAGACGTGTCATAGGATTTAAAGACTGACAATAAGTATCCAACTTTTTCATTATTGAAACTGTTAAGGAATGAAAAAAAAAAACTGAGGTAGTTAATTGTAACATAGAATATACCTCTTTCGTTACCATTTTCTTTTGATTGTTCTTCATTCTTTAAACCTGGAAATTTTTTTTTATAAAACTATGACCTTGACACACATTTTGAAACTGTATTATAATTCTTAACACAATTACTTAAAAACATCAAAACCCACTAACCCCCCTTAATCTTTTTAGTTTTTTGTTCGCTCATTTTATCGAGTGGTAAATCGTTAAAATCAAGATTATACACATGCTTGCTTAACACACGAGTCAACATATCCATAGCTTTCTGAAGTAATGAAATCATAAAATAAGCTTTATGCCAATTTAAAAACCAGGATTATCATTCAACATTAGATGCCAAAAAATAATTTTCTTAGTGTACGTTCAATAAACTAACTTAGCAAGCCTATATTGCGACAATTATGAACAATTTCCTTGAATTCTCTATTTTTAGTTGCGGTCAAGTTTGCATGTTTTTTATTTGCTCTGATGTTTAAAATTTAGTGCTGCCATAATATTTTAATTTTACTACGCAACCAGCACGAAAAACCTCATACTTTATATATGATTAATTGATAGATTGATTGATAAAATATTCACAAATTGGAATGAACATCTAAATGATACCAATTTTTTAATCCGCTTCAAATCTACACTCGTCGGTAATCAGCTTGAAGACTCGTATAACAAAATAACCAAATCAACAATTTTACAACTTATACGAGGGCTTTTTTTTAATTTTTTTTTCAGTAATTAAAAAAAAAAACTCTAAATTGTTTTAACTTTTACGGTTTATTAAATGACGTATGTAACGTAAAGCTAACGGTAAATTTTACGGATAACGTTAAATTTGACAAAAGAAAATCAATGCTTACCTCTATAGATACAAATAAAAAGTTTAGAAATCACGCATTGATTTGGTCATCTTAAAAAGAGAGCAATAGGAACCGGTCCATTGAAACCAATAACATAATATATTATAAAAACTTTATGTCTAATAATGAAAAAATAATAAGAAATATAGTCATGAAGAACGTCAAAACTACCAATTGGAATAACGAATTACAACAATAGAACTTTGTTAATAAAAATATCTGTAATAAGAAACAAGTCAATAAGGTAAAGTAATCGAAATATTCCTTTAATTCCGAAAATATCGGATACAAAACTACGAAAATTAATTAACAAAGAAGTGCCATAAAAATCATTTAATCGACAATCTCGGAACAACAATTATTAGAGATAGTCAACAATAACACAAAGATACTGTATCACAAAATGAATACATTTTAACTTAAAGTTGCAGAAGCACTCTACATAAACCAAGAGAACCATGTAATAAATATACAATGCAATAACTATCGGCAAAGAAACTACAAATAAAAAAAACAATGGATCAACACAAAGTGCCAATAAAGAGATTAATTAATTAGACAATAAAGTAGGAACGCAGTCAATTTTGAAACCAATAAAGTTGGGACACACAGATATAAGTATATATAAAACACTTAACAACCAATAGCCGATAAAACACTATTTGAAAATGGTAAAGGATTACCGAAAAAAAGCTTTTTTTGTATGATAAAAATGAATAAAAAGTATTAAAAACTTTGTTTTCTCAACAGATACTCAACAATAACACAAAAGTACTGTATCGCAATAGAAAAATTTTTCAACTTGAAATTGAAGAAGCACTTTATATAAACCAAGAAAACTCTGTAATAAATATACAACAGAACGCAATAACTTTACTAAAGAAAAAGAAACTATAAAACTAAAATTACTAAAACTAAAAAAAAACAATCAGCGCAAGATAACGATGATATAAATACAAAAAAAAATATTGAAAAATTGAACCAGAAACTGATCAAAGCTGAAAATGATGATATATATATATATACTATGCAAAGTGAATTATATATATATAATTATTAATTAATATATAATTAACTAATTTATTGGATTAGGAACGCCCATATAAAATTTTATATATATATATATATATATATATATATATATATATTATCGATTCTGGTTCTGCAGTTGTTTTTCATCACAAAAGATGACGTTCTTTGGTTGAAGTAGTATATTCGTAGTAGGGATGCACCGAAGTTCGGCCAACACCGAAGTTCAGCCAACACACAGTCCCTGTATCTCTCCCAAACATCTCCATCCTTACCACTCTCCCAATTTTCAGCCACCTTCACTTCAAATGCCTTCCTCACCTCTGCATCCTGCAACTTCCATGTATTTCTCTTTGCTGTCACATCCATCACAACTATACTATGCTGCAGCATACCAGGTATCGCCATCACATTCTTCACATACTTCCTATGTTTGGCCCTTACCAATATATAGTCTATCATCGACCTATGCTCCCCTGACCTATATGTAATCAATCGCGCTGGTTCCCTTGTAAACCAGGTATTCCCCACCACCATGCTATGTACATCCGCCAACTCCAACACTCTACGCCCTTCCTCATTCCGTATAACATATCCCCATCCCCCATGTACACCTTCATATCCGTCTGCATCCGCCCCAACATGACCATTCAAATCACCCAACAACACCACAAACTCATCCAACCCCGCTTGCCCAATCTCGTCAGAAACATCATCATAAAACCTATCCTTTTCCTCTTCCTTCCTACTTTGTTGCGGAGCATATCCTGATATCCTCACTATTACTTTTCCAAACACCATCACCACTACAATTACACCATTGCTTCTCCGCCTCACTTCCAACACCTTCACCATTTCTTCTCTTACCATCACACCAACTCCTCCCGTACCATCATCCCCCTTCCACCACAACTTATATCTTCCACCTTTAGCCCCCACAAACCTTGTACCTTCACCCTTCCATCTGATCTCCTGTATTGCAGCCACGTCAACAATTCTCCTCCACCACTTCCAAACTTCTTCCTGTCAACGTGCCTACATTCCAAGTACCAAACCTCCAACTCCTACAAGGAGTCCTTCCATCTACAGTGCCTTGCACCGCCACACTATAGAGTGGGGTGCCAGTAGCCAGACCATCCACAGGGCCTTGCACCACAACCCCATGGACTGGGTCTCCGGAGATTCTTCGCACCCTTTTCTGCCGGATACTGAGGGCCATTGTTATTTCCGTCATCATAAGTATTATTTTTATTTCATATTTCATTATTACTTTATTAATAATAATTAATTTACACATATTAATTATTATTTGTATATACATTAATTTTTAATAATAATTAATGTATAATATATATATATATATATATATAAACGTAAAATAATTACCCAAAAATATTTTCTACAAAAAATTAATGTATTCAAGTGCAAAAATATTTCAACTACAAAATTTGAAACCGTAAAAATTTATTTTGAGTTAGTATTTGATTTTGGTCCTGGGCATGACAATAAATAGCATCCCCGTTGCCTTGCGTGCTTTTGAACAAAAGGCTAGGCCAACCGCTTATAACTGGTGGTTGTCGTCAGGATGTCATCACAAAGAAAAACAACGGCTCCTAGTCCCCAGCAGGCCTTAAGTGGTCAAGGGGTGCCAAGAATCTTTGGGAAGTATGCAATAGTGGAGGGATGTTGCAGAAAAATTCAGAATGGCCCATCTATGGTACATAGACTTGGAACGCTCAATGTTGGATCACTGACTGGAATCGCAGAAATGCTCGAGAGTAGAAGAATTGACATCTGCTGCCTTCAGGAGATCCGATGGAAATCGAATGGTGTTTGTCATGTCAACTCAGACAAAGAAAAATATAAACTATTCTGGAATGGTCAAAAGACGGCAAAAATGGTGTTGGAAATTTTGTCAGAGAAGTACTGGATATTAAAAGGATTAATTCACGTCTCATGTGGATCAAGCTTCGCCTATAAAAGCAAACAATGATTATTTTTTCTGCATACGCACCACAGACAGGCGAATCAGAAGAGATGAAAGATGACTTCTGGGGTGCGTTCTCTGACACCATCTCAACAATACCAAAATCTGAAACAATCCTGATAGGAGGCGATCTCAATGGCCACGTTGGAGAGAAAACAGATAGTTTTGACAACGTACATGGCGGTTTTGGCTATGGAAAACGGAATGAAGATGGCAACCGCATCCTTGAGTTTGCTGAAATTCACGGGTTTTGTTTACTGAACACATATTTTAGAAAGAGGTTGGAACATCTCATAACATACAAAAGTGGACGCAAATTGATTTCTTCGCTGTCAAGCAACAACACTGAAGGCTATTCAAAAATGTCAAAGTTCTGCCCGGCGAATTATCTGTCGCCCAACATAGACTCCTTGTGGCAGACCTGGTTGTCGAACTGTCGAAACATAAGTCTAAACAAATGCCTCGGAGAATCAAAATGTAGAAGCTGAAAAGCAATATTCGTCGAGAAAAATTTCAACAGATAGTCGCAACACAGTTAGACCACCAATCGCAAGCCAGTACAGATTGGAGTACATAAAAAACCGTTTTGATAAACGCTGCAACTACAGTTTGTGGGAAAACTGATACAAAACGTCAGCATAAACGGGACACTTCGTGGTGAAATGACACTGCAAAAAAGTAATGGCAAAAAGACATGAAAGCTCTAGATTTAAATGAAATGGATACGACTGATCGTCTAACTTGGCGCAAAAAGTTGATGGCAAATCGGGGGACCGGGTTTCTGGACGCAAAATGAAGATTGATTGATTGATATATGTGTAAAGATATGACAAAATGGTATCTTAGCAATAACCTTGAGCAGGACTGCTGATTTTGTTAATAATAAAGTTGTAGCCATAGAAATCCTGTTTACTAGCGCGAGAAAGAAAGGCAAAAAAGGTTAGAGACCAGAATTAAAACTTGGAAATTGAGAATACCAGAAACCATGAGAGTATATTAAAATATGGTTCCAACATACTTTGACTTCGTTTTAAAAATACTAAAAACTCACTATTTTCGTGAAATAACAATTTACACTTTTTTAGAGTTAAAGTTCAATGGTGAATACTCATTTAACTAATTTGGCGCAAAATGTTGATGGCAAAGAAAACAACGTCCTACCTCTAGAAACTGTTGATGTTAAACAAAGATTGATTAATAGTATTTGATTTTAAAACATTAAACAGTCGTTAGATCCTATTCTACTCACTTTTTCATACGCCGTTCAAGGATTCCCAGAACAAATTATTACAATATATAACAAATTTGCTGCATCAACGTTGCTCTTGCTTTTAATGACACGGTTATTCAATTTTTTAAAGTTTCGGTTTTAAATGAATAATTTTTTTTACAATAAACTAAATTTAATTCTTTTACATTTACAGTGATCAAAAAACACATGTCATGATAATTGACCTTGTAAATGGACTATGCCGAACTTTGATTTTTGGCCAAATATTTCGTTGCATTTTTAATTTATAGCTTTGAACATAAACCATAAAGCTTACCATCCATTCTTTTATCAATTCCAAGCAGTGGGTTAGTGAAGACAACACATCAATTAATGACTGCCACAAACTTGAGCTAATATTTTTGTTCAAATTTGCTTTAATCCAAGTCACTATTAAGGTCTTTCGAAAAACATTTTAAAATTAATACAGCGGCAACAACAATTATAACAACACCAATAATAGCAAGACTAAAATAATTATATGTTCAAACGATAGATTAATTTCATTATTTACAATCTACAAGGAATAATTAGATTGAATTGAACACCTTAAACAATGGTTCCGAAAGCCGACTGGCTAATGTGTTTGCTTGGCAGTCCTGAGACATAACAACTTTGGTTATTTTCAACAAAACCATTAACAATTGTTCCCTAAACAAAACGAATCGATAAATAAAATTATAAACGACAAAAAATTATTTTGTTAAAAGCTAGATTAAAGTTATATGAAATGAATTACCATGTAGTTTTATCCATATGCAAATTCATTACGGAATATCTGTAGAGATTCAAAACTCTTTTACACATGTCCACCTACATAGTTGTCAAATAGCTCAGCATATTAATTTTATAAGCAATTAGAAAATTAAAAAAGAAGCAATTATGAGATAAATGACTTGAACTTACTTGACTATCCAATTGTCTGATAACTTCGTTACTATCGACTACTGGTGATGGAGAAAAACTCACCATAAAAACGTTAGAAGAAATGTTAAAAAAAAACCGGAGAGAATTTTGTAGGCCAACTTTAACATCATCTGGTGGGACAGTTACATCTGGTGTCGTAGTTGAAGCGAACAATTTGTTATGAATACCTCCAGTCAACAGATCAATCTAAATTAGCAATCAATAAAAGAGATTCACCTAAACACAATATTATTTAGTTTAGTTATATCAGTTACATTAGTGTTTATTTGAAAACTTTGAAACGTAACAGACTTTGATAACAGAATTAAACAATTCAAAAGAACACAAATATAATGGCAAAAGAACTAAAATTCCAGAAAAAGTGTCGACCTTGGATAGATATAAAAATCAGTTAACAGACGATAGTAATTGTATAAATTGTTGTTTTGGGTTATTTAAATATTTTTAAACAAATAAAATTCGGTAGACAAACATGAAAGCAACATAAAAAATTATTAACTAAATAAGTGAAAAATAACTAACAGAATTTGTAAGGGTTGTAGATTCTTGAAAAATAGCCGGAATATTTGATTGGTTGGCAATGACTTGATACCAATTCTTGAACACTGTTTGGAAAACCAAAATTTATTTATAAAAAATAGTAATGTAAAAAAATCGCAATCCAAATACATCTTCGTTGCAATAAACTAACATTAATTTTATTTTTTTTTAGTAAAAAAAATAATAAAAAAAACTCGATAATAAATACAAAATCCCATTACTTTACAATTAATTAATTATCAAAGATCATAAATAAATAAATAAAAAATTAAATGAAAACAATAAATGAAAATATATAAATAAACAAGTAAATAAATAATTAATTAAAAATTTTCTTTGAATAACAATGCAAGTTAATACGCGAGAAATCTTTGTATCAACACAAATTACATGTGATGAAGGATTTTTTTGTATTCGAAACAATCATAGCATCATAGGCTCAGAAATTTTAATCATTACATCATCTTGCTACACAATACACATTATATAAAACATTATACTTTTCTAAAATATTCATGTATGAAGACAATTAACTAAATAGTTTACCATTGATTACACGTCTTGTAGCATTGTAACTTTCATGGTGGTACTGAAGGAATGCCTATATAAATATGTTGAAAACATTAAAGTTTAAAAAGGTTAAAAATGCTTGAAACATCAAACTGACTTGTTTGAATACTTCGTGAACAATGTTGACATTTTCTCTGGTTGCATACAATACTAACCTAACCATTTCAGCAAGCCAACTACCGGAGACAAAAATACCTTTAACATCACCATTGCCTTCCAGACTCTCCCCATTATTCTCCCCATTTTTGTCTATACCTACTAGTGAACTATTTGCTGACAAAGTGCTTGTGTTGCTACTTGGAAATAAGTTTATTTCATTGTCGTTATTATTGTTTACACTATGCGGTTGTGATTTATGATTTTGAATAAAAGAAGAGCTAGAATAAGATTGATAATCTTTTATTTGTTGACGGTTGAATTCTACCGGCAGAAGTGTTTCCATTTTTCCGACAGATGAACTACTAGATGCTGACAACAATGCAGCTTTAATTCTTTAAATAATTCAATATTTTCTGTTATTAATGTTATAATTTATTATTATAGCCTTTACTGACCATTATATTTATTTTAAAAATTTGCATCATTCACATGAAAATAGCATAACTTAACCTACCTAAAAGTATAAACTTCAAAACTTAAAAGCTTAGCTAAATATAGCTTTTGATAGAAAAGACTCGAGATGTATGGGTGTAAATACTTGCACCCAAACAGCCTAGCAGCCAATTTTGTCAAAAACTTATATTGGAATATTGATAACAACATCAGTAAAATATAAACGTAAGTTTCTATCGTTTCTCAAATGAAGTGCAATCTGATGAAAACAAATTTGCAAAACTAATCTTTGTCTCAAGCTTAACACCCAATACAAGCAGACAACAGCGCTTTTTAAAATTTTTTATTGGCTATACAAACGCGTTTTGTTTACAACCGTCAAAATTTTATATTACAGTTTATCTTCTTTCTTATTTCATATTTCGAACACAACAAAATTTTTCGCACTTTCTCCACTTATTTTCAAGCTGCTGTTTTTAACATGCAGTTTCACAGATCGCAAACGACTTTCCATGGAATTAAAATATTAATTCTGTATCGGAGTTTCAGTAACAACTAAAAACTTTAGCATCTGTCACCTAATCAATTGCAATATATATTCTATATATTATTACTGTCGTTAAATTATGATATTATTATACGGGCAGACATTAAAATGTGCATGTACTTAGATGATAGATGTGATAGATAACACTGAGCAACAAAAAAAATTTTTGAGGAAATTTCCTAATTTTTTACAACTGATTTATGATAATTTGGCACCGCTGAGTCCGAAAATGACATCCGTTTCTCTAGGTCAGGTCCAGTTTTTCTGCTAAGTTAAATGTTTATTTTGTTTTATTTGTGAATAAATCAGTAAAATTTTTGTGCCATAATCGGTTTATTTCTATGACCATTTCTCATTCGGAATTGGTTTCAAAGAGAAAAAAGCGTTCTGAAACACAGTACCTTAAGTAAGGGTCATTAATGTTCGTCATTGTTAAGAATTTAGGGCTGGAACTTCCGTTTATTGGATACCCTGGAATGCTCAGCATCAGGGATGTCTCTCTTTAGAGTCCAGCAGTAATCAGCCATCATGACGGCATTCCAACGTCCCTGATACCTGGTCTCCATCTCCTTCATCTCCTGGTGGAATCTCTCTCCCTGCTCGTCGCTCATTGATCCAAGATTCTCAGGAAAACGATCCATATGTGAAAATAGATAATGCAGTTTGATGCTCATGTTGCATCCGAGTTTTTTGAAAGCAGTCACCATATTGTTGACAAGTTCAGCATAGTTTCTGGCCTTGTTGTTGCCAAGGAAGTTTTTCAAACGAGAACAAAAGCATTCCATGCTTCCTGTTCCACTTTGTTCATTGACTTTTCAAACTCTGGATCTCTGATGAGCCGACGGATTTGAGGACCGTCAAAGATACAAGCTTTTAACTTCACTATGGTTACTCCCGAAAATATCTGGCACATGTAATTGAAGCAGCCACCTTCCTTGTCTAGAGCTTTTGTGAACTGCTTGATCAAGCCAAGCTTGATGTGCAGTGGTGGGAAGAGTATCCTGTCTCTGTCCACCAGAGGGCTGTTGATAACGTTACTTGCTCTGCAAGGCACTAGTTCCTCTCGCACAGGCCAGTCCTTCTTCGTGTAATGGTGAGCAGTGTCCCTACTGTCCCACATGCACAGAAAACATGGGTATTTGGTGAACCCGGATTGTTGCCCCAACAAAAAATTCACCATCTTCAGGTCGACACAAATAACCCACTTATGCTGATCATAACGAATCATCTCCAGCACATACTTCACCGCTTCATACTTCTCCTTCAGTTTAGTAGAGTGAGCAAGGGGCACAGAGGCAAACTGGTTGCCGTTGTGCAGTAGAACACATTTCAGTGACCGCTTGCTGCTGTCAATGAACAGTCTCCAGTCTTCGGGCTTGTACTGCGGCACTCCTAGGTGGTGCAGAAGCTTTGCAATATCTGTGCAGTACACCAAGTCCTGCACCTCCGAGAAAAATTGGAGGTACTCTTGATGCCTGTTGCGGTACAGGGTGATGCGAGCACAGCCAGAGAGGAGGTTTTTTTTTTCAATCTGGATTCCAACAGTTCAGCAGAGGCCTTTGACAAGCTGAGGTCGCGAACTAGATCATTTAGCTCCTGTTGGGAAAAAAGCTGTGGAGTTTCATCGTCAACAACTGGCCATTCTTCTTCTGTTTCCTGATCTTCATCACTGGAGGATTCGTCATCACTGATGTCTTGAAGTTTGTGAAACACAGGTACTGGAATATCATCACAATGAGCTACAGGACGACGTGCGGATTGCAAATCAGGATACTCGAGGCTGCTTCGGTTCTTTCTGTTTATCCCAGTCAGATCGATGCTAAAGTAGCAGTCAGTGTCATGGTTTCTCTGCTCCCGCCAAACCATGGGAATTCCAAACTTCAGACACGTCTTCTTGCCCTTGGTCCACTGACGCAGATACACGGTGCAAGCCTTGCATACCATGTGTGGCGCCCAATCTTTATCCTGGTCACCAAGTTTAATACCAAAATAAGCATGGTAAGCACGCTTTATGAAACATGTGACTTGATTCCTGTTATGAACAAGTGTGTATTCACCGCAGATATAGCAAAATACGTCGGGTTTATTTTTACAAGATCTTCTCTTGGAAGCCATGTCGTTCGCTTGCGATTCGTTTGCAACTGATACCTATACTAATGCAATCTGCTATATGGCTCAGATTTGGAAAATGCTGACGTAACTATCCATAGTTATACACAGCCTCGTCCGGGCATGTCTGCGATTGTCTGATCACGTGACTGTAGTTACGTGATTTAGTGCATTGAACGTGTGTGTGTGTGTGTGTGTGTGTGTGTGTGTGCATAGGGGAAACATAAAAATACCAATTAATTAAAAATTGCAAATTCCTCATAGTGATGAAGTGATTAAGAACAAAGCATCACATACAGCGAAAATACCTGGGACTGTACCCAAAAAAGTGAAAATGAAGATATGGCCATAGCTTAGAAAGTTGACCTGATCTAGAAAAACCAATGTGATATTTGGATTCAGGACATCAAAATTTCCATAAATCAGCCGAAAGACCTTAGGAAATTTTTTGGGTGTTGACCAGTGTAATAGCTTTTTATTATGGGAAGGTTTAAACGGTAAAATAATGAAATGTTGGTTTCCGCGTTGCAACTATTAGGTTCAAATGTATTTTGGAAAATTTATTAAATCAATTATTTAAACAAAAAATTACTATGAGAAGAGAAAGCAAAAAATATTAATTATGACAAAAAAAAGAAAAGAAACTTATTTCTGGGAGAAACGTTAGTGTACAAACAGAACCAAATAATGATTGACTCCTGACACATTAACATAGTTTTTAAGCTCGATGGTGCCGAAACTAATAAAATCGTTTCAGGATTATAAGTTGAAGTTTGTAACTGTTGAGAATATGTTGATGCTGTAGTTGATAATTGAATTTCTCTTTTATCTGGGAGATCTGTTAAATACATTTCATATTTTATATGATTTTGATTTCTTCCAAAGTATGGAAAAGTAAAAAAAGTAAACTAAACAGACAAAACCTATGTCGACATTAAAGTTTTTAATGAATATTAATAAAAATAATTACATCCATCTCAGCGCCCAGAGTATGTGAGATGATTTATGAAATTGATTACACAATAACTGTCATTTCAAATACTTCGAATGGATAAGAACAGGATGACGATTCAGCAATTTAAATTTATGAAAATTTTTATAAATTTTGTGTTGTTTTATGTTAAACGAAAAAAAATGATTAAATAATAATTTATGAGTAAGCAATAATAATAATAATAATAATAATCATAACAAAAATAATATTATTATAGCTACAAAATATAATGTAACATATAAATATGATAAAATTTTATAGTAATATGGATTGCTAAAAATATTTCCAGAAGTTTGGCAGAAATAATTAAGAATTGAGATAATTTTATAAATTTAAATTCAGTAATAATTTAGCTAAGTAATCAAAAAGTTAGCTAAATAAAAATAAAAAAGCTTGAATCTTTGCAAAAATTGGAAGGTTCTGTGATTAGAATAAATTTACCTACGTGAAAAAAAGTTTCGTATTGATATGCCCAATATGTCAGATTTTTCTTTCTCGTGCCTTATCTTTTCAGGACATTGGCGACCATCGACCTCCAATCTTTAACACTTTATTGTAGTTAAAATGTGGTGATATTTAACAAGCGACAAAAGAACTTCACGAATGTTATTTGTTGTTGACTGCGATTTCTTTTCCCTGCAATCTTTCCAGTAGTTAGATTTTCCATTTTTTCATTCGGCATGTGACCAAAAAACTTTAACTGCCCCTGTCGGATTATCTGTAGTAATTTCTTTCCTCTTTTCATAACCGGACTTGTAAAACATCTTCATTCGAGTAATCCAACTTATTTTCATAATTCCTTTCGAAAAAAACATCTCAGCAGCGTTAATCTTTTTTTTTTATATTTTTTTAAAAATTGTCCAGAACTCAGAGCCGTAAGTTAGCATTATAACACCCAAACAGTTTTAATTTTGTTGATTTTCTGATTTTACTGTTGGTGAGGATAGACTGTTTTTCATTCTAGAATATGCATTTATCGCTATAGCTCCTTCTTTTGATATCCATACCATATTTACAACCTGAGGTAACCATGCTGATAACTATGCACTCTGTTTTGTTGTTAATTTGCAAGCCTTTTGTTTCACTTTCAAAAACCAGTTTGAAAACAATTGTTTGCAACTATTTTATTAAATCTGCTATAAGAGCTGTATCATCAGCATATCTTACATTGTTTATATTCACAACTCCAATGGATTCCCGGTAGGTCTTTTTCATGATGATCTCACTACAGAGATTGTACAGGTCTGGAGAGAATACAGTACACAGCCTTGCCTAACTCCTTTTGTTATTTCGACAAAACTAGTTATCTTGTTACCAATTTTCATCGGTGCTCTTTTGTCCCATTAGATGTTTTTGATAACTATCGTGACTTTTCCATCAATGTCCAAATTTTCTAAAATTTCCATAAACTCCACGTGTTTTAAGCTATCAAAAGTTGTGGAGTAATCGACAAAACATATAAATAAATCTTTCTTCATTTTAATCCCTCGTTCACTGATCATTCGTAGCATAAAGATAGCGTTTCTTGTGCCACAATGTCAGATTACGTTATTACTTAAATAGCATAACATTTAAATTCAAATCATTCGAATTTACAGCACGTAATAGCAAAACTTGTCGTTAATTATTTAGACCACAAAATTTTAACCAAATAGAAAATTCGATGAAAAACTAGAAAAAATTTTAAAATTTAATTTTTTATTAAAATTTTAACCAAAAGTAGGACTGTAAACATCCGTTCTGAAATCGAAGTCAGGAAAAAATTGTACAAAATAAAACCTTTTAAATCTGTCAAACAAAAAGTTGAAACTATAGCAGCGCAATTCCTTATTAGTCCACTCAATCTTGTTCACCTGTAAAAATGATTATTAAATCTTTTCTAACAACATGCAATGTTGAAATAACATCACTTATTACAAATTTAACCTGAATTCTGAATTAAATTAAACTGCGTAACCTAATAATCGACATTAAATCCGTATCAATGAAAATAATTTATAATACATCTTAACGTAAAGCTTTCGTGAGATGATTTATGAAAGTGATAGCAAATGTTCATTTTAAATAGCACAGGATGACAATTCATCAATTTGAATATGTAAAAAAGTTTATAATGGAATTTTTTAAGTTTGCCGAAGGTGAAGGGTTAAAAAACTTTATGAATAAACAATAATTAATAAATAAAATTAAAATGAAATTTTTTTTAGTAAGATAACAAGTTTGAAGCGCGATTTAAAAATATTATGTAACGTATGTATGATAAAATAGCATGTGCTGTTGAATAAAATAAAACTTACAATTATGTTGTAAAAAAAATCAATAGATCATTTTAGATCAATATTTATTAGCATGTTAGCTCAGTCACTAAAAGTACCATTTCGCGCTGTTCTGTAAAAAAGATAGGTAACCGAGGTAGACAGATGGTAATGTAAATACTATGTATGGAAGTATTGGAGAAAAATATATAAAAAAAATATGTACCGGTATGTGCCTGGTTCGAAAACTGTCCATCCAAAATGAAAACACTATCATACGCGCACAAAATGTATGTTCATCGTGTGGTGTGGATAATAGAAAATCACCAGAAAAATTAAACATGGAAATGTCCCGGAAGCAATGCAAAAACCCATAACTGAGTATTTTGAGATGCTTGATGTTTTACAATGCAATAGCTTAGAGGAGATTGTGGAAGCGACCATAGCCCAGTCATATGTAACACCAAGATCAAAGATATTCTCCTATCACAAAATGATGAGAATAATGTCAAATATAATATTAAAGTGAAGTGCTGTTTGAGTTTTGTTGTCATCGGCCACGTCTCTGCACCATACATTAGAACAGATCGTATAGCTGTCTTGTACAGTTATGTTGTACAGGAATTTTACGCCGCATCAGTACCGAGGGCAAGGAGGAGCCATCTGCCCCAATAGTAGTTCGTATGCGTCTACGGCATCATCTGCTCCAGTACAATCCAGCACATCTCCCAAATGCTGAAATGAAGTAACAGTTTCGATCCCGGTAAATGTATCATTATCCGAGCCCCGTTGTCGAGAGTTGAAGCAGGCGGGCATACGAAATCAGCGAGTGAACCGGTAATTCTCGAGCATCATCTGTGACACCACTGCTGACATCGTAGGCTTCTAACTCCAGCTCCACACACCGAAAGTGGCCAATGACCAGAGACCACAGGCTGATCATAGTTTTTGTTTTGTCAACTTTTAGCCCATGTTCAGCGAGCTGGGTATTCCAGACCTCAAACTTTCTGGCAGCGTTAAGACGCCGTCAGGACAATATCATCTTCATATGTCACATTCCATATGTTATCTGAGCGTATCGGTTTGGTTATTTCCTCCATCACCGTGATGAAAAGAGCATCTGACACAAATAAGTGTTTTAATTTGTTTTTTTTTCATTTTTCTATATTTGTTTGACAAGTTGCTTGATGATTTGTTTGGCGAGCTTCTGTATTTGTTTATGTACTTGAATAATAATAATAATAATATCATGCAAAACCTTGAAATAAAATGATTATAACATAACCAAAATAAATTTAGAAATTAACTATAAAAAATTATTAATAACCTATAAAAATATGAAATGTGTAAAATTTGACGAATAAATTGTTCAGGGAACAAAAAATTGAACTAGCCCTTAAAGCGCACTAAAAATGTCTTCGAGGCTATTATAGGTATTTTAAGTATATGCGTAAAACATGGAAATATTGAAAGGTTTGTACTTCGAAGACATGACAATTTTAAAAGCTTGTTTTGGGATCAACAATGATAGTTGAAAGCAAGATAATTAGGTTTGTCCAAATATAGACGTTTATTTTCTTTAGGTTTATACCATATTTATATTTGAACCAGTCCTTAAAAGCGCACTAAAAATGTCCGCGAACGGCTTCGAGGCTATTATAAATATTATAATTATAAGCGTAAAACTAATGGAAATATTGAAAGGTTTGTACATCAAAGACATGACATGAAAATTTGTAAAAGTTTGTTTTGGGATC